TCATCACCAAATCCTGACTTCAGTCACTTCCCACCTTTCCTCATGCATTAAATGCTTCTTTGTGGCCAATGGGTTTGCTGCATTAAACATGCACTACTTCATTAAATGAAGCCTAGGACCCTGCTGTCACGTGATGATTCGCTTTTAATGCTTTGGCCGCAATTTTGTTCGGCCTCGGCCTCGGCCTACGCTTGAGGCCGGGATGATCATGCCTTAGCATTTCTTCTTTTATTTTTAAGAAGGCGAAATGCCCTGGCGAAACGCTGCGTTTCAGCTTCTGCGAACAAATGCCAGGGCCGAGAGAAAGGGCTCCTTCGGCCAGCTCATGGCTGTGATTTATCAGGCACAAACACCTGGTGAATCAAAGACTCCTTTTTTTTCTTTTTTTCCTATTAAATTTATCTATAACATTAGCAACAATAACATAATTAACCTCAAGTCTTCTTTTTCCATAGGTCAAAATGTGTTTTAAAAAAAAAAACTGTTCTGTTCTTCAATGTGAACATTATATTTTTCAGCAATTAGTTCTTCTTTTTCTTCTTCTTCTTTTTTTTTTCTTTTTTGCCATTTCAGCAATTAGTTCTCAGGTGTGTGGGCTGTAAACACACGTGTTTAAAAGGGCTCCGCTAAACTTTTTTTATTTTTTTAAATTTCGATGCTATTTAATCTAAATTAGAAGGACAAATAAATACAAATACTCCTAGGCTTATACCAGTGGATATGTTTTGATAGAATAACGCTATTTAGAGACACAACATTGACCACTTTAGCTGACCACCTTATATGGCAACTAATGTGTCATGCCATGTCAATTAATGAATGTTGCCATGAGGCCACTTACTAGGAAGCTAGGGTTTTTTAATTTGTTTTTTAATTGACACAGCGATATTCATTAATTGACTTGGCATGACACATCAATTGCCACATAAGTTTGATATTTATTTATATTTTTGGGTGGGCTATTGTGATTTACTGAATTTAGAACACCAGTTCTATTTGAATATTTCATGAAGGGTGGCTTCAGTTCAACAACCGAATCGAGCTAGGGAAGCCGACTACCAAAATGGAGAGAAGCGGATTGCCTATAGAGATGCCAAAATTTGATTTGACCGAGACTTTTGATTGAATCTGTTCAGCCCTAATATGTACCAACCCTTTGCAAACGTGGTTATTGGGCCTAATTTTGAGTACTTTTTAAGTGGGCTTAGTTTTTTTGAATCCAGTTGGGCTTGTTCTCGGCAGTTCCATTGAATTTAAATATGATATGGATATTTAAACAGCTGAGCAATCTTAAACAACTTAAGGCCATCTCCAATCATATGGTTAAATGTAATCCAGGGCTATAAATTTAGCCCTCCAAAATATTAATTTTTTAAAGAATAGTGTAGGGTTAAATTTTTCCATCTCCAGTCATGTAGGGCTATATTTTACGGTCCTTTGTATTTTATTATTTTGAAAAAAACTATGCTACAACACTCATACATTCCACAACTATGTATTGTTTAATTTAATTAAACTACTATTTAGAGACAATATTCCTTATATGACACGTGTACGTTGATAAGCATTTAACAAGATTTCTGATAAGATTTTGTGTCCATGTGGCACGTCTTATCCTAAAGGAATCTTAATAATTTTCGGATATGATTTTCAAGTGACACGTGTCGGTCCTAGAGCAACTATCTAGATTTCCGATTAGATTTTTTTCGACGTGGCATCTCTTATATTCATCTTCAAATGTCAATAAATGGAGTGTTTTCGATTCAATATCTCACAACTTTATCTACATCCTTTGTAAATGGAAGGATTGATGATGCCTTTGTGTATTTTTGAGAGATGTATTCCCAAAGCCCAATGTTTTTTTGGTTAGTACCCACAACGCTATCTTCGGAGACTTTTATGAAAACCTTACAAAGATGTTCATCTTCCACTCGTGACTAATTTCGTCCCTTCAAAGTCCGAGATATTTTTCAAACAGTATGAATAACAAAATAAATAAAGAAAATAAATTTGTAAGAAATGTGGAATGAAATGAGTGGGAAAATTTTTTAAGAAATTTTGAGGTATTTATAGACATATTTTAGGTTTTTAATTTTTTTTAAAGATAATAATAATAAAGCCAACAAAGGCAATTTAAAAAATAATAATAATAATAGGCTGCATTTCAAAGGTTCTGACCTCCAATGATCATAATCAATATATATATATATATATTCAACAAAATGTTATAAAACTAGGGGTAATTGTAGAGACCAATAAGAGGAAGAGAAAGACAGAGAATTTGTTTTATGAACTTTTTGTCTTCTTCTTTGATAAGTACCTATTTATAGGCTTACAACCATAGGAAATTAACCCACTAAATATAAATTAAAGGCTACTAATTACTATACTAATAACATATGTTACAAAACAATAAAAAATGGAGATAATGGATACAATGGTAGTCATCCACATTCCATGGATTTATAACACAAAAAGAATTTAAAACATTTTAAAAGGTTTTAATTTTTTTTTAAAGTAACTTTAATATTGGATGTTGGATCTGCAGTTGTACGAGATGTTTCATGCTCTTACCCACATGTGATACTTTTTCTTCTTGAAAAGCACATGCGATGGACCCACAAAAAATTTGGCCTAGGCCAAAGCTGGGCTACAAGTAGCCTGGTTGGAGGGCTAAAAAAATTTTGGGTTTTGCAGGCTATATTTGACATGTGGCCCATGACTGGAGATGGCCTTACATTCTACAAATATTTCTTCAACTGGGCAGTTCCTAAACAAGCAAATAACCAAAGTTCAAAATTACAAATGAAAGTTGAAACTTTAACAATCCAAAGTTCTAAATTACAACATAATTCTTCAAAACTTGGGCACCTAACTAGACAACTTAAAATAACCTAAACAACTTAAAGTACTTTGAAACAATCCTAAGTTCAAAATTACAACACAAACAAATAATATAAAAAAACATGGGGTAGTCAAGATTAAATACAAACTTAACCTAAACTAAGAAATGAAAGTTAAACAATCTAAACTTCAAAAAGTCTAATTAAATACAACCCAATAGTGAAAGAAATTGTATCAAATTAGAAATTCAAATTAAACAATTGAAGAAGCATAACAGTACATGCAAAAAACAATTGAAGAAGCTCTTGCATGTCACATGAGTAGGCATATTCTTCAAAAAGGAGGTGGTAGATGAGTTGTAGTTGTTGTAAAAGCTTGTGCATTAGAGGATACTACAAAATAAAAAGGAATAATCAATTAAATAAATGAAAACAAAAGCTAAAATGTAAAAAAACATAAGCTGAAATTCAAAAAACAGAAGCTTAAATGTCTTACTTATTTCAATTTCTTCACATTCCTTGTAGAGTTCAACCTCATCTTCCGTTGGTTTCTTGTAGAAGTTAAATCATTCGGCCCTAAGCCAATCACTAGAACACATTAATGCCTCTACCATTTTAGGTGTCAAGCAACTTCTAAAAGGATCAACAACCCTCTTACTTAGGCTAAATGCATTCTCACTAGCCATGGTAGAACTTGGGATTGAAAAAACATCATTGGCAACCTTTTGAAAGGAATGTATATCTTGATTGATTCCCTTTCCATCAATCCAAGAGGTTGAACCCTCTATTCTAGGGTCTTCAAAGGGATATGCAAAATATTTATCTACATCATTAGAAATTTCCACAAGATGTTGTTCTCTCCTTTTTAGCAACATGTCCCTTACCATTTGGGATTGAACATCGTCACCATAAATGGCGTCATCAATTGCATCATTAACTACCTCATTTGATGTTCAACCTCAAGGGTACCATCAACCCATTTATACTCATTATACAAAATGAGCAAACACTTTTTAACCTCACTAACAACTCCTTCAACCCTTGTCTCATCCGCTCTAAGATTATGGAAACTAATTTTGAGGAATTCTAGTTTCCACCTAGGGTCTAGAACATGGCCTAAAAACACAAGCTTGCTCTCACCCTGAAAACTGCCCCAATATTTATCAAATTTCAGCTTCATTGAACCAGCCACCCTTTGCATTATATGATTAGCATCCTTCATTTTCTTCTCAATTTCAACTTGTAAGCCAACCAACTCTGTAAAAATTAGATTGGATGTTACTGTTTTGGTTGCACTAAGCTTGAGGTTTGTCTCATAAAACTTTTTAAGTAAATGCACACATAATTGTGCATTCTCTCGATCCTCTCTATTGGAGGCCCCACTTTGTTCACAAGGTTTTTCCTTGAATCCTCAAAGGGAGTATTATCTTCCGTCATCCTCCAAAAAACAATCTAACCCTATCTTTTTAAAATTTAAGCCCAGCTAAGAAATAATAAGCGGAAACATAAACACATGCACAACCATGGTGTTTAATTACTTAGCATATGCAGTGAGTAAATGGAATTGACTTCATGAAACTAGATTGATAAAAACGACACCACGTATTAATACAAACAGAAACCCTTGTGATTATGGATCAATACAGTGCAACACAATATTGATCCACGTTAGTGTACTGATGTCATTTGAACAAGATGCAGCAAGTACAACTAATGACAACATGAATATAAACATACACAAAGATTTGTTAACCCAGAAACCCAACAATGGTGAAAACTGGAGGACCAAGCCAGTAAGAGAATCCACTATCAATGAGAAGTACAAGATACAAAAGGAGTTGAGCTCCATCTACACTCAGTAGGCAGCTAACTATCTAACCTTCTAGCAAAGCACAATATTAGCTCATTTACACACAATAGGCTAAATTTGAGTGTTTGGTTATTTTTGAAAGATTTTATAAAAATTGATATTTATGAAAGTATAGGGTAAATTTGGGCTATTTTTAATAAAAATTCTTGTTGGACAAAGAGAGGAGAGGGCCAACAACGTTTTGAATCAGAGAAGAAACGGCCACAAAGAAGAAGAAAGAAGAGAAGTCGAACTGACCCGCCGTCACCTCCGCCTCCGCCTCGCTCCTCTCAGGTCAGCTTCTCTTCGCTCTCTGTCTTTCATCTCGTCACTCAATCTCTGGCTTTCATCTCCTCTGCTAACTCTCTCTCTTTCTCTTCGCCGCCACAACAGAGCAACTAAGAGATGAAGAAGACGGGAAAAAGGTTAGACGGAGGAGGGAGGTCGCTCTCTGAACAAAAGCAGAGGGTTCTTCGTTGTCGTTTGGAGACCTTCAAGCACCTTCGCTCCTCCTCTCTGGACGAAATCGTCCACCAACTTCGCAATAATTACCGAGACTACCACCGCATCAAGCTCCAGTCTTTCACCAAGTTCGTCCAGCAAACGCTAGACTCGCCTTCCTTTAAGCAATCCAAAACCCTAATCCATGTCAGTGACTTAGAAGAAGATGAAGATGAAGATGAAGAAGAAGAAGAAGAAAACGGCCAAAGCAATTCCCAGAGAAGGCGGAAGCGTGCTGCCAGTAAGGGCGAGGATAAATTGCAGCGAATGGAGTCTGCTCACCTCAGAAGGGTTCGTCAAAAGAATGGTGACCGTCCATCTACATCTTCTTCTGATGATGATGCTGATGAAGATGGGTCTGTGTCGACGTCGGAGGACGCGATATATAGCGAGAAAGTGGACCCGGAGTTTGATGTGATGAAATCGAGTCTCCGAGCATCGTATATGGAATCGAACAGCGCCTTGAAGCCCAAGGCAGCCGAGGAGCAGAAGGAGAAGAATGTAGAAATGGAGCTTCCTGGGCGCGAGCAAGTTGAGTTAATGGGTGGAAATGGAGGGCCAGGGCGGCCAAAGACATTGCAAACACCTGAAGCCAAGGGCTCGGTTTCTACAGGGGTTGAGGTGAAGGGAAGCGAGGGGCCGAGGTTTAGTGACTTAGGTGGGATGGAGAAGGTGATAGAGGAGCTGAAGATGGAGGTGATTGTGCCGCTGCGCCATCCCGAGCTGCCTCGGTGGCTCGGAGTCAGGCCAATGTCTGGGATTCTGTTGTACGGCCCACCCGGGTGTGGCAAGACCAAATTGGCTCATGCCATTGCCAATGAAACCGGCATTCCCTTTTATAAAATTTCTGCTACAGAAGTCGTCTCTGGTGTCTCAGGTATTAGCATTACTCACTACAAAAGTTTGAATGAGTTGAATTAAAAAGCTGCAAAACCCTGTTATTGTTAAGGTTTTTATCTTCCTTTAATTTATGTTGTTGTGAATTGTAATCTGTTGTCACGTCATAAATTTTAGGTGCATCTGAAGAAAATATAAGAGAGCTTTTTTCTAAAGCTTATAGAACTGCCCCTTCAATTGTATTTATTGATGAAATTGATGCAATTGCTTCAAAAAGAGAAAGTTTGCAACGAGAAATGGAGAGGCGAATCGTGACACAACTAATGACTTGCATGGATGAATCTCACAGTCTTGTACAACCGGCTGATGCAAATTCCAACTCTGAGAGTTTTGATAATAAGTCTGGCTATGTTCTTGTTATTGGAGCTACCAATAGGCCTGATGCTGTTGACCATGCTCTGAGGAGGCCTGGGAGATTTGACCGTGAGATTGTTTTAGGTGTTCCAGATGAAAATGCCAGGGTTCAGATTCTTTCTGTGCTTACACGCAATCTAAGACTTGAAGGTTCTTTTGATCTTCTTAAAATAGCCAGGTCTACACCAGGGTTTGTTGGGGCTGATTTGGCAGCCCTGGCCGACAGGGCTGGTAACATTGCCATGAAAAGGATTATACACAAGAGGAAGACTGATATGTCTATAGATTCTATGAATGAGGAGTGCAATGAAGAGTGGTGGAGACAACCATGGTCGCCTGAAGAAATGGGAAAGCTTACTATCAGTATGGCTGATTTTGAGGTGTTTTGCTACATATTCTCTTCTACATATTATTGCAATAAAAAAAACATTTAGTATGCTTTCTTCGTGAAATTTCTCAACTTGACAGTGTTATCATGTGAGTTCCTGCAGGAAGCAGTTCAAGTGGTTCAGCCTTCATCAAAAAGGGAAGGATTCTCTGCAATTCCTAATGTAAAATGGGAAGATGTTGGTGGGTTAGATCTTTTAAGGCAGGAATTTGATCGTTATATAGTTAGGCGTGTTAAATATCCTGAGAACTATGAGGTATCTTGTTGTTCTTTCACTGCTTCATACTTTCTGCTGCCTGTACCTTATTCTATATATTTGTTTTATTTAAGTCTGCAATCAAGTGGCTAATTATGATTTTGAAATGGTTTGTGGTTTCAGGAATTTGGAGTAGATTTAGAGACAGGATTTTTGCTCTATGGGCCTCCAGGATGTGGTAAAACACTGATAGCGAAGGCTGTCGCTAATGAAGCAGGAGCCAATTTCATTCACATTAAGGTCAGTCATTGACTTTTCCTATAGGACACTTTTGATTTGTTAGGTTACTTTATTTTGGTCACTGTAACAATAGATATTACAGTGCATGTTTTTGGATAAGCTGAGAGGATCCATTTGATTGACATGGCTTTTCTTATCTTGTTAGGGCCCTGAACTTCTGAATAAATATGTTGGAGAAAGTGAGTTGGCAGTTAGGACATTGTTTAGTCGCGCAAGGACATGCTCACCATGCATACTTTTCTTCGATGAGGTTTGTGGTTCTCTCTTCCTGCCAATTGTTATTGCTACCATCAGCTTCTTTAGAATTTTATCTTTTGATTTGAACATTCAATGATATGAAGTAGCATAGATTACTGGCTTGTCGTGATCAAGTTTTTCCCCTCACTTACTGATAGGTTGATGCCTTAACAACAAAGCGGGGGAAAGAAGGAGGATGGGTTGTTGAACGGCTATTGAACCAGGTAAAATAATTTGCGAAGGCAATCTTTAACTCACTGCTTACAAACTCACTCGTTTTCATTCATTTATGGATACAAAGAACTGACTTCTTACAACTGCAGTTGCTTATAGAGTTAGATGGTGCAGAGCAGCGGCGGGGTGTATTTGTTATTGGTGCCACTAATAGGTAAGACTCATTGTTCATTGTTCAGTGTTGGTGGTGATAATTATCATTATGCATTTCTTACATGCTGTTATACCTTTTGTCAGACCCGATGTCATGGACCGTGCTGTTTTGCGGCCCGGTAGGTTTGGTAAACTTATTTATGTCTCCCCGCCCACAAAAGACGAGCGTGGTTTGATTTTAAAAGCTCTTGCAAGGAAGAAGCCTATAGATGCCAGTGTAGATCTCAGTGAGATTGGACAAAGGGAAACTTGTGAAAATTTTAGTGGAGCTGATCTTGCTGCACTGGTTTGTCTATATTCTTAATTATATAAGCTTTGTTTTGCTTTGTAATATTTAGTTTATTATTTGATTTTAGAGCTGATTTTTCCTCTCTCATTTGCCCTTACCTCTGTTTGAGTGTTGGGGAAGAAGAAAGGTGATTGGGATTCTCTCTAACGTATTGATCCTTGCAGATGAACGAAGCGGCTATGGCTGCTCTTGAAGAAAAACTGACATCCACACCTGAGAGGAGTTCAGATGCATCTCCATGGACTATCAAAGACACTCACTTTGAGCAAGCACTGGCTAAAATTGCACCATCTGTAACAGACAAGGTATGGATTTGATTTTCAGATGCCTAATACTTTCAACGAACAATTCCTTCGCTCCTTTTTGTTTTTCGTAACACTAAATTTAAAATTCCATTTCCCATTGCTTTGTCCATATGGTGGACCAGCAAATGCAATACTACCAGAAATTTGGAGAGAGCCTCAAAGCACCAAGAAACAAAGCCTAAGCCAGAAATGTCCCATTGAAGAGTACGTTGTAAATGTCCCTAATACTTTCTATTCATGTTGTTTTCCTTACTTCCTTCGTTGCTGACAGTGTTGTTGGGCCCGAGGTTTGCATAATAAACTTGACTGATTTTGGTTTTCTGCTTTTGTTATAATGTTTAAAGAACTTTCTCATCCAAGAAAAAAATGGTAAGCAGAAACTGGGACAAGTACCTTCTTTACAATTGGGTAAGCTAATTATTTGAACAAAAGGAAGACCAATATATGCCCTCTCTTTAGTTTTAAGAACTTTTGATTATATGATTTCTTTTGCCTAGAACGTTTTCTATAATGTCATACAAATGAAAGAAAGTACAATGATTTAGGCATTAGAACACACACTTCTATAATTTGTCATACAAATGATAGAAGGTACAATGATTTAGGTATCCGAATATGTTAAATTAAATGGTTTTTGAGAATAATACAACCAATCTGATGATGGATGAGTTATGCAAGGACCTCATAGTAATTGATGATGAGTTGTAGGAAGGAGGTTGTATTCTTCATTTGTCATGATTCATAGTGCATAGAGAATTTGAGAGATGAAATTGTATAGGCGACTGATTCTCATTGACTTATTAACCATTACACAGTACAAATCTTAAAGAGCCTTGGCTAAACTAACTCTAGGCTGTTGTAACAGCTCACAATGGCTCTGCTAACCAAAACTGAACAAACTGACAATGACTTGGTTTGCTGAGATGATTCTGCAGCTAATACTCTTAACATTATTCAGTGCTTGATAAAATGTTTCAGATAATGTAATGTTATGTTTTCAATAATTTTGTTTTCTGATATTATTTTCATTTGATTTCACTATTTATGAGTAAGTCGATGCAATTTGATTTTAACTAGTTTAGAATCATATAGGGCTTGGTAGAAGAGGCTTTTACAATTGGAATTAAGAATTTTGCATCTAAGATAAAATGATCTCACAACTGCATCAGACAAGAAGTAAAATATTTTGAAAGGGCCCAAGACGAAATGAATAAGGGGATAAAAGCCTAATCTAAGTCACTAAAAATTTCCCAAATCAATCTTGATTTACTATATCTCTAATTTCGTGTTTCTTGACCTCTTCAATATATATGTTTTCCAATGCAATTTAACCCATAACTCTAAGCAGTTGCTTCAACAATGTGTATCATCTGACCCCTTAATGCAAGTAGAAGAAACTTCCAAAGAAGTTGGCTTATTTTCTAGCTGTTCTAGATTTTCCTATAAATGGTTTTTGCCTTTTCAAATTCTTCTCAAATATTACAGCTTATATATATATTTCTCTAAATACATTGATCAGTGGTTCAATTTTATGGAAACTCTGTTCCTCCTTCAAGTAATTTATTTTACATGATATCATTGCAGGCTATAAACAACCCTGTACTCAAAGAAATCCTGGTACGCAGCAACATCTCCAAAGCTGCTTCTGTCCTTGTATATTGCATTGTCACTCCCGTGCTGGAAGAAACTGTTTACAGGTGATTTTTACTAGGGTCAATTTAGTCCACTATGAAATGGCAGTCAGCAGTTTTGATAAGCTCAGCTATTTTTAGTGCTGCTCACTTGTCTGGTGAGAATTCTTTACAGTTGTTCATCATTGGATGTGTGCTTGGATGCTCTTATTGTTGGACTGGAAACTTGAGATCTCCCATTTTAATACGTTCCCTGTACAATGCCATGACTCTAATGATAACTTTCTTATCTTGAATTTCACATTTAAGCCTCCTCACAGTTCTATCCTGTTTCTCGAAAGTGGTTTCTCGAAAGTGGAACCTACATTTGTTTCTTAAGAGTCGGGTAATTGATACTATGGCTTTGAATTGACAGTGCTCACTTGATTTTCAGATCAATGTTATTAACTCACACGATGGCTTTGAGTCTCACAATATGCAATCATATAGTTGAACCTGTCAGTTTCAACACCAGAAACAGACAAAAGACTCTTCTCCACAAGTGCATTTTCTGATAAATGAAAGAGTAGGGCTTGCATAAAATATTACTGAATAAACGTGATTTGCATATTTTCCTCCTTTTTGATTCCTTCTTTGGTTATCCTTGAAAGCCAAGTGTTGAAGTTGGTTTTGCCACCCAATTAGAGATTGAGGCCATAACATAGGATTGTCATGATTCTTCAGGTCAACAGAAGATCATCTCGAGTGATTTCGTAGCGTCTAGGATTCAATTAGCCCAAGATTTTAGCTTCCCTTTACTTTTTATTCTTCTCTTCAAATTTTCTATGGCATTTAGTATTTTCACCTCTCCAAATCTACTTTCACAGTTATGTTCACCATAGAATGTCATATATGTCAAAATTTCTAGCAGAGTGAAAATACTGTGTTTTTCCTGTTAAGATAGGAGGGAATGGATAGAGAGAAGAAGATTTAGGTGAGGGGATTAAGGAAGCTTAAGATTTATTCGTCGGTCATCAAGTGTGAAGATAACTTACTCACCAAGTCACTTCCATTTCTGCCACTTGATAACCTCACGTTGGCTTTATTCAGACAAGTCTTCCATAGAGAGCATTCATCGTTGATGTTCTTGAATCGAGATTCAATAGCCTCACGTGATCGAGGCCCCAAGATTTTCGAGCCGGAATTATTTTTGTGATAATAAATGGCAAAATGTAACAGATTGATTTTATTTTATTTTTTTGGTTTTAACTGTTAAAACATTCAAAAATCAATATATGTCGTTGATTTAAATTTGAAAAGAAAAAAAACCAGATTTAAATCTGAATGGCAAGCTGGTCCCAACAGCATGCGGCTCCAACGACACTTTGAATAAACCCTAAGCAAGTCCAACACTTGGGAATCCACTTATGGATATATCTTTGATGATATCTATCATGGAAGACGCTAAGAACATGTTGTTACATGTCATTGAGAAATGTTCTACTCATAAACGTTGTACTGCTATTATTTATCATTGAGAAATGATTGTGAGGGGTTTTGGTTCCTTCTAAACGCTTTTAGCTTAAAGAAAATAGACTACTCAGTTAATCCGACAACCAAACCCTTATGTGTAGATTTGCTAACCTCATCCTTTTGAACAATGTCCGCTTTTTCCTAATTCTTATGTAACTTGCCTCAATAATATATTATCGCTTCAATTAAAAAAATCATTAATTATCCTCCTTTTTAATTAATATTAATTAGTTTTGGGTATCTTCTTTCAAATATCTTTAGGAAAGACTAGTCTTTAAGACTCACTTATGGTTTATGGGCTTATTGCACTGCATTTAAAACTCCCATTGGTATGTCTCCTTACAGACTTGTGTATGGAAAGTTATGTCATTTGCCTGTTGAGTTAGAGAATAGAGCTTTTTGGGCTATCAAACAACCTAATTTCATTCTAGACAAAGCATGAATTCAAAGAAAACTCCAACTCAATGAACTAGAGGGAATAAGGAACGATGCTTATGCTTGTGCTAAAACATACAAGGACCGTATGAATATGTTCCGTGATAAGAAAATTTTGCGAAAAACGTTTGAGAACGGTTAGAAAGTCCTTTATTTTGCGAAAAAAATAAAGAAACTTTGGGGACAAACACATCTCATGTTATAACCTCCTTGTACCTCTATATTCTATCTCTCTTTTTATTCATTAAGAAACTCTAAACCAATAATCTGAGCATGTAAAAAAAAAAACACCTTAAGTTTTATTTCGTTTTGGCTTCCTTCATTTCTCAATGATGATTAATAAATCATGATGAAATCAATGATATTTTTTTCATGCCACAAAATAAAGTTGAAACAAGGAGATAATCATGCTGAAAACCTCAACACTCACCACAGCAAGCAAACTCCTATCATACAGAAGAAAAGAGAAGTTACAGAGCCACCACATCTTCTCTTTAATAATTCTTTGTATTCTAACTTTTTCTTTGGCTTCATGTGTATCAAGAAGGCCTCATCTATAGTGTTCACCTAGGGATCAGATTGCTCCTCCCTGTTTCAATAGAATTTAGCAAACGATATAAGTAAGGAGACAACATTTATGTAATTATTTAGGGGAGTGGGGAAGACCCCAAATAGTACAAGGATTTTCAATGGAGGCAAGGCATAAGGCATACCTTGATGGCACCCAAGAAGTTGAGGTGTTTGGGAACTCAGCAAAGACATTTGAGTAAGACTTGGTCAAATATGAAAAATTAGCAATTGGAGGTAGCGCAGGCACCCTTTCACCTTTTTTTAAAAGCTCTTGCAAGTTAAGCCTCTGCAAAGTCAAGACAGCCCTAGACTCCTTCCAAATGAAGGCAAGTTGACCATCTTGAAATACAAAGAGAGAACCCGGTTTCGAGCCTGGATACCTAAACCCATACCCATTTGCAATACCCTCCCCTTTAAAAACATCCTTAATATTCACAGCAAGGGAATCTGCATCTGCATTAGTATCCCAAGGGAATGGATCGAATGAAGGTTCATCGATATTAACTACAAACATGGCTGAGCCATTAGGATGCAGAACATAGTGGGTACCCTCTAATATTTTGGTTGCAATTAGAAGTTGTTGCCCCTGGCACTCCTCATAAGAAAGCAAAAGAAAGAAGAGAGCCTTTCCAGGCTTGTCTTTGGACGACTTCCCAGGAGGCCAACCAAAAGTCCCTCCCCATAAACCAGCATATTCTTGTTCCGCAGTTGGGATCCGCAAGGGCAATCTGTAAATGGCAAATCGACTGTCATGCATGTTTGGCCATGCTCGATAAGAAGATAACTTCACATGCGAAGCATGTAAAGTCAATCCTATTGTATCACCTGAACTCAGAAAATCCTCAAGGGATGCGTGCTTATTCTCACTGCTCGAAGAACTATTCTTTGAGTTGGCATTGGTTGCGATCGACTTCCCAAAGATCTGATTGAGGCTGTCCCTAAAGTACTTGCTAAGAGTTTTCCTCCTGTTGCACTGTCTGTGACCGTCATCCCCATTAATAGAGTTTTGAGAACCACTTAACCGATCAAGACTCTTTCTGATCTCACTCAATTGCAGCTGAGAGGGATCAGATGGCAGCAGACTACTTGCCTTCGAATCCATGTGACCTCCACCAAGCTTATGCATTTGAATAAGCATTGATCTTCGTTCCAATAAGAGCACCAAATCCTTTTGAAAGTTCTCATCATTATCCCTCAACCGAGGAAAGAGTGGCCCAACTGCTGCATCAGGAACCTTTAGACGAATTTGGCTCGTGATAACATCAAGTAATTTTCTTCTGTCACTGAAAGCCAATCGACTGAAGGGCACCAATGTCTCACTCTGTCCAAACACCCTCTGCGACCTTGAAAGTCCACTATTTGACCTACAAATCTTCCTTGACAACTCCTCATCTGAGTGGTGAACAAAACTCTTGCTATGCAATGATTTACCCTGATTTTTATGTAGTCTAGGCTCGATCTCAAGCAAAAGCACATTGCATGACCTGCCGATAGATTTCACAAAACCAGGATAAACATAATCATGTCCCTTCTCCCTTCCATGTAGAAAAAAGGATGTGGAGCCATCAAAATCACCAATAATTTCAAATACAGGAGCCCACAGAATAGGACCGTCTTCAATGCCTAACGGCCCGAGTTCTTGAGGTATTATGCGGCACCCAACAACAGAAACAAAACCTGGCATGACATAGACTACATTGCCAAGCTCTGGATTCTGATGAACCCATATTCCCATTAGTGGCTGAACACTAAAGAGAAAGCGGAAAAGTGACTTGTATGATGAGACGGCCTTACGCCACTGAACAAGGTCTTGAAGAGGTACAATTCCAACGATTTCACATTGGATTTGCCACACTTTTTCGGACTCCATGAGTGCATACAAACTACGGCAGCATAGACTGAGATTGCCTATATCCCTAGGTGAGAGGGACCAGGTGACAATAGAAAACACATCATCTGACAGAGCCAGAAGCAAGCTCGACCCACAGGATTCAGAGGACATGATGATTCAACTAATAACAAGAAATTCAATACAGAGCTAGAAATCTATTTCTATATATGCATAATTCACGATTCATAACATACACGAAGCTATGAAGCAAAAGCAAACAATCAGATAAAAGATGACAAGAAAAATTCAAGTGGACCACCCTTGAAACTCCTTCAAAACCCTCCTTTTCAAAACCAAGATGGAGAAATTTTGTCTTTTTTCTGGTCAACCAAAGACAGTAAAAGTTTACAGATCAGACCTGGAACTGAAATGGGTTTGCCTCAAAATTTTCATTTCTTGCATTGAAGCACCATGTATGAGATAAGGGTAGAAACAAAATACAAATTGGGTATGTTTCAGACCTTCCAAAACTCCAATTGGTGTTTATTAGATTCCCAAATCATTGGACCTATCAAAAATCTGCACACAAGAACTAGAATATAACAGGTTCAAGGAGAGAAGAAACCGTGGAGAAGGATGAGAGAGAACCTAGGAACTGGATGGCGTCAAAGTCATCACCAATGAATCAAAGTTCATCTCTTTAGGCTCTCTCTCTCTCTTTCTCTCTCCCCCTCTCTCTGTCTGAGCAGCCAGCCAAAGTTGAATTGAATTCAATTGAGCTTAAGAGAGACCAAAAACTATAAAGAGAAAAAGACTGTTTAGTCCAATGATTCTTGACCATGTAGTGTGGAAATAACAGTTGATTTATATCATATTGGGAGTGGGCCATGCTTATGTTTGGACTTTCTTGACACTCCATCACTTTTCCTTCTTTTTTTTCTCCATTTTTATTCATGCGCATTTAATAAGTTTTTCTATTGTGTTTGTGAAGAAACTTTTTCTATTATACAAATATTAAATTTATTGTTTCATTTAGATTGTCCTCAATTGATGGGATTGTTCAGAATATATGAGATTCATATATATTTATAAAAAATTCATCATCGTGTTATAAATTTAGAAGATTTGAAAATGTTTGACTAGTAAAGCAAGAAAGTCTAGATGAAATATAAAAAATAAAAATAAAAAAAGAGAGGAGAAGAACTTTTTTTTTTTAGAAAGAGAATTTATTCATAGAACCAAAGGCATATAAAGAGCGACACGATATAATGCCCTCGTTAAAACCTTTAGAATCTATGTTTTTGCATATGCAAAAAAAAAAAATCAGAAAACGCCGATCCAATAACACTCGTCCATCAGCAACAAATCTAATCTTTAAAAAATGTGAAAAAATCACTTTCAAAATAGAATGCTACTAAACGAACCCTAAAATTAACTTAGTAAACTCTATGAATACGATTGGTATTAGGGTGGTGTGTGATAGAGTGAATTAGGGTGTACCGAGGGTATTTTTGGTAGTTAAATAGGATGTACTTAGTTAATTTTACATTTTAATTAAAATATTAGGGTGTACTCAATTAATTTTAGGGTTCATTTAGTAGCACTCTTCAAAATATGCACACATCCTTAAAAACCCTAACCTTCTACAAAGCCCAATTAGAACAGCATCAAACACATACCGAATCCTGATTGCACTAAAGCAATCAAGATACATAATAAAGACTAAAGAATGCCACTTTTCATAGTCCAACTTCAATTCCAGTTCTAACATTAGGAAAAAGAAAAGGGAGAGAGAGCATATGAATAATCTTCTCTGTGCTAGGGTTAACGACATATGAAAGGGTGAGGATGCTTCACGACAAGACACAACTTTTTCAACAACAACTCAACACAAACCCTAACTCCTTTCTTAAAGGCCGGTTCATTGTTATTTGCTCTGCCAGAATTACCTCTAGTATCGATTTCCAATTGATCTTCCAGATCAATTGAAGGTTCTGCTTGCAGTGCATGAGAAGTGATCCAAGATGGTGACAACTTCTTGTAGTATTTTCATTTATTTACGACTTTATTTACTTTTAAAGTCCTTTGTCATTGTATTAAAGAAGGGTCGTGAAATTATAAGTCAAGAATTTACGGAGGTTTCAATTCCTGGAAATCTTCTGCATAATTATACATTCCTCGCACAAAAGCCACACATGCTAATTTTCCTGAGTCGACTTGAAAGTTGCATGACAAATCATCACTGTCCGAATATAAATTATTCATATTTTCCGCATACAAACTCATCTCATCAACCAGAATGCCATTCCACACTGAATATGGGTAGCATTCCAACAACTAGTTATCTTAATATGAGAAGTTTACACACAACCTCAAAAGTATTACAAACATTGCAATGAAAAAAACTAAATAATGCTTGCTGCCTCCTTCGAAGCTCTTCCTCCACAAAAATTTGACACAACCATACGTGCATTTCAAATCAATTTCGATTCATATCTGAGAGAGAGACCTTTATCTCCGTAAAATTTCCTCACGAACTTCATTGCTACTATTAGACTTTTTATCTAGCAAAAAACAATTTCAAATTAGTATTAACAATTCATAAGCAAGTACAAAAACAATTCGAATGTGTATTATCAATGGCTAAAATATTTTCGTAACACCTTAATCAGCTAAATAGAACTCAACAGAGGTATCCTACTTGAGGTCACAATGCAAGTAATCATTTAACTATTGAAAGCATCACCAGTATAGGTTGCAATTGTAAACAAAATATGAGACAGAAACTGGAAAAAGGATGGCTTGCATAAGTTCTCACGTACTACCGCTAACACAGTTTGTACTCCTTTTTTAAGGAAGCAATAGCTCCAAAACTTCCCATGTGATCTATGCCTAGACCAAGGCAACATCTGCTTTATATCATCTATATACACAGGCCACAAGGAGATACAACAGACAAGGAGTCGTAGTGCTTGCAATCTATATGAATCAAGGCGATCAAGTTTCTATCAGCAAATGTTCTTTCACAACTTGATATTAAGGCATAGAACAAACCAGTATGACCTGCCATGATATTACTTTCAACAATACTAATCCTGTTTTTTCTCTTTCTTCAAATATGAAGTAGGACCATATCAAAAACTATGCCCCAATCAGATCAATAAATAACCATTACCATACCAAAACAATTTTAAAAAAATACTACAACTCTTGAGGATGAACCAGGAAGCAGAGGAAAAGGAAAAACCAATACTCAAATCATACCCAAAACCACAGTAATCAATAATAAAATCAGTTCTTGAAACCCATTAAAACATATATCAAAACTCAGTCCAGAACCCCCAAATCAAAGAACCATGGCCAAGATACTGAAACAACCATAACCCAGGATACCATACCTGTTTATCACTGAACAGATTCAAATAAATTTAGGCCATTTTTCTGCATTCCATAACAAATTCAACAAGTTATATCTGTTAACTTAACAACAATAAGTAAATCACCTAAATTTTCACAAACTCATTCTCTATTATTGCAGATTAGTGAGTCCTAGAACTAACCCACTGCCATTATTTTTTCTTTAAAAAAAACAAATGGGGAGCATGAATGAGACTCAATAAAAAATCAACAGAAAGTAGAGAAAACTGTCATGAACGTGAAAAGAAATTTAAAAATCAAAGTTTAATTATTCGAATAATCAAGAAGATCAAATGGTTTTTTGTTTTCTCATGATACTCGAAATCAACAAACCCACAAGAAATCAGGTGTAATCTCAACCGCTTGCTCAGAAATCTTACAACCATATTAGAAACCTATCTCGAAAACCACAACCCAGATGGAGAAAAGAGAGAAAAAAAAACCATAGCCATCGATACTCATACCTGATTGCTAGAGGAAAAATATATATTTTTAAAAAACAGTTTATTTATAGCTTCTTTTGTATGATATATAAAAACTACTGAGGCAACCATATATATAACTTAATTGGTTCCTAACTTCATGTCTCCAGATAGACAATACTTGGTTCCTAAACAATTCTGTTTCTCAAAAAGAAAAAGAAAGAAAACTGCATACTAATCCTTCAAATAAACAATTCTACTTCTCAATGTCTTTCATTTCTCTCCCACAGGAGCATGCATGATATGTATTCTTCTTGTCACTCCTTCATCAAAATGACTCTCATATCGAACATGCCTACATACAGAGAGCAGTATTGGTCATAATTATGTATGAAGCAGAAGCTTGCTATGGACAGTCCAATTCTAAACAATGCACGACTCAAATGATAATGCAGAACCAACCACATATGTTTTGATACAAAGAGAGCTAAGCTTTGATCATGGAGAGGCATAAATTTCCAATTAAAAATGATAAGATCAAACACCAAAACTTGTAGAAGACTCCTATTCCGGGTAGTGTTTTTTATATAGTCCTATGCTCTTCACAAACCCCAGACTCGTTCATTCACTCGCTTGGATTCAGTCTCTCATATTATTACAGTAGGCCAGAAATCAATAAAAGCAAAGAACAAATGCAGAAAAATGGGAGAATATACAAAGTACAGATCACAACAAGCAGCCAATCCCAATGCCAATATTACCACTAGTGTGGCCTATGACTAACTTAACGAAGGAAAGTTGGAGACCGTTTGATACAGATAGAGAGTTTTGATCATGAAGGAACTGGTGCCCCACAACAAGTTCTGTTTCTAATTTGCCAACCCAGGTACTATAACAATAACCATTACTACTATAGCAATTACAAAAAGCATAAAGAATAACTAATTAATACTAGGAAAACAGAAACCTTACTCAAAGATCCAATCATTATAATTAAATGAAGAAATTCAAGCTTCATTCAAGACAATAAGGAGGCCACACTCAGCTCCAGAAAACAAAACTTCAAGATGTGTTTCCTCGTTTGTGTCATCTACAAATTGTAAGATTTATTTTTGGGGGAAAGAAACCAGACTTCTAACCAAACAACTACTTGATGCTATTCAGTGTATAATAAATAAACATGAACCAAATACCATATGTTTTGTAAAAGGGATATCAGATAATTAAGATGTCATTTCCTTAAATTCCAATGAAGAACTTGGTTTTGCACACCACCCTTAAATTAATCACGGTTTCCTTATCTATTTGTCACATTTGTTAGGTCTCCAAAACCAAGAATAAGGATTAGCCCCAAAACATGAAAATACCAAACAAAATCCTTAAACTGATACAAGATAGAAAATGCAGAAAAAATGAGTTTTACACACAACTCCAAATCTGAACCATAAACTAAACAGTAATCAATATGAAACAGCTACAGAATTGAAACTTTCATTTAGTTGGTTTAAACAACCTAACTTTCTGCCAACAACGACATAGATTCAAGCCCAAACACTGAAATACAATAAAACTCAAATAAAAAATAAAGGATTCTCACCAAAATGTGGAGCAGTCAGTGGTCATGGGGTAGTTGATCCTTAGCTGCAGTGAAAGAGGAATTTAAAAAATAAGCAAAATTAAACATCCAGATCCATAATTAAAATAGAGAAAAGGAAATAGGAGGACAAACTAGAGAGGACCAAGTTGGGCTTGGAGTGGGTTTCAGTTCTGATACAAATTGCAAATAAGATAAGTACCAAAAGGATTAAAATTACAGGGTCAAGAAGATGGTAGTTGGGCTTCCAGGGAATGGAGGATTCTGCTCTATCTGTTTAACATGAGGACCAACTTTTGCACGATCATCAGGGTTGGCAGCAGACAAAACTTCTACCTCTTCAAGATCCAGTTGTCTCTTAATCAGGTCTAAGTTCTCTTTAAGTACCTCAATCTCTCCAAATGGTAACTTCAAATCTAAGGCCCGAGCCCCAAGTTGAACTGCCTCATTCTTCTTCGACTTCACGAAAGGCATGCAAAGATTCTGGATTTGTCTAAAATCTTTAGCCTGTCCAAGAGAACTACTCTGCAGTGCCTCCAATATCTCCCTGTCCGGAGCAAAAGTACGAGTCTCTATGTTGAAGTTATTCTGGAGTATCCTCAAGCAATCTGCCTTCCACTCATCAAATTGCTCCCTCACATATATCAGGCCTATTAGCTTCTTCCCTTCTACCGAAGATGAAATTGGAGCACCATTATTACCGGCTTTCTTAGAATTTGGCTGGTGCTTTCTAAGCTTCTTCCTCATTACATCAATCGACTTTTTCAAATAGTTATTGGCACTTTGGAGGATTAGATCCGGAGCATCAGCTGCCGGCCAGCCTGCGCTTACTACAAATCCATCCTTCTTCAAAACCTCCCTCCACACATATTCAGCATAGTGTGGACAGATTGGAGCAACCATGCGCGTCTCTACATCCATATAATGCCACACCAAATCTCGATTCATGTCCTGAGCACGACATGAATTCTGGTACCAATCCCTGGCATCTTGAAGACCATAAAATCCAGTGATAAGGGCTTCACGGAACATGCAAGAGTGGTAGTTCTGCTCAGTCCTTTTCACAGCGATATTTATTTCATTCAAAAAGACATGGTCCGCAAAAGTAGAAGGAGAACCTCTTCTCAAAGAGTCTGCACTCAAATTCTCCTCCATCCATGCAATCTCTTTAGTGAGTCGTCCGATGGCAGTATTTGCAGTGCCAAATACAAAGTTTGCATCATCAACACCATCACCGGCATCGGCCAAAGCCATTCGTGTGGCATCAGCAGAATATTCCTCTATTGCCTGCCGCAATGTCAAAAAATTCCCTGTAGACTTGGACATCTTCTTAGAATTGAGCATGAGGTGCCCATTACATCTAAACCCACGAGGCCAATGCTTCTTGGGCATAATTGCCGTGTGGTTGTAAATGCAAAATGTTAAATGATTCTGGATGAGATCCTTACCAGACACTCGAAGATCAAATGGATACCAATATTCGAACTCCTGCTTCATCTTATTCAGAATTGATGATGATATGTCAGATGATTTTGGAAAGGGCCCATCACAAAAGATAAAATCCCATACCTCATCGGTCATTTGTCTTAAGACCTATGTGTTGAATAGGGTATAACCCCAGATGTGTTGGAATCCCCATACATGTCTCCATCGTGTAAAAAGTGAGCAATGGTGTAATAAGCCATGTAAAAGGTTGAATCAGACAAGGACTCGACCAAGTGTTTTTCATCCCAGGGAATACGTGTTCCAAGCCCAAACGATCGTGAACAAGCCCACTGATTCAACCAACTTAACGTGTGTTCAAATCCATGTCGTGTCACGTCAGAGTACAAGTTCATGCTCGACAAGCATTCCTCAGCCAATTTTTTCCATTCAGCTTCACCATAAGAGACGTACCATTGCTCTGTTTGAGCCACAACACATTCATCCCCTGACCGTGACACTACGTGCTTCTCCGGTTCACTATACATGATTGCATTTCCTGCCTCCATTAGTTTGCTCCTTATCCACGATTTTGCCTCCTGGACTCTCCTTCCTGCAAATTCTCCCACGAGCAGTGTTCCTTCTGTAAACCCTTTCAAGTATGTCAACCTCTTGGCTTCTGCTAGCTTCTCTTTCTCATTCTGGCTTTTGATCTTGAGATCCCCACAGACCTTTTCCGCAGCCTTATCTCCAAATTCCGGAATATTGATGATCGGTACAATCTCAAAGGGCACAACCCATTCATCCTTCACGCCATATTTGTTTCTAAAAGCTGGTTTCGATTTTAAATCATGCAGGGCCATATAATCATCAGGAGCATCCCCAGGTACACTAGTCACAATCCCAGTCCCTTTGTCTGCTACGATGGTTAACATAGGAAGGGCATAAATAATCTGATGGCGTGCAAGTGGTGACTTCAATGGAAGGCCAATCAAATCATAACCAGTTAGTTCAATCAAGCAAGAAGGTTTCTCAGGTATCCTAGAGAACCCCTGATAAGCAAGATTACGTGCTGCTCTCTGCGTAAGAATAAATACATCTGTTTCATTGACTTCAAAGGCTCCATACCTTCCATTGGGCAATACCCATGCATTTGTTTGTCCATACATGGTCTCAGGTCTCAATGTTGCTGCAGCAAGGAACACTTTTCTCCCCTCCAACACTCCCAACTTAGAAGGAAAAGGTATCGCCACCTCCATTTTGATGATAGTATATTCTTGGGGCTGAACTCCTTCGCCAATTGCCCTATCATGATCTGCACATGGCTGCCCGTCCATTGGAGAGTAGATGGTGTAACGTTTCGCTTTGACAATCTTATCCTTGTCTTTCAATTTCCGCATCTGCCACCTCACAAACTTATCAAAATACGGGTTCCTGTCTGTAGTAATAAAGGAACGGCTCCAGTCACATGCCAAGCCAAAAGCCTTGAGGTCTTCCATTGCCAATGGAGGGAAGAAGTTCAACCACTCAGATGGTTCGCAGAATTTGAATATCTCACTGTCAGAAAGGCCAAGACTACGCATGATTTCCCACTGGTACGCTTGTCCGCTTGATTTTGATGCAGCCTTGGACTTCTTTCCCTTGAACTTAGTTTCTAGAGGTGCACCTGCATTTGCATCTTCAACTTCTTCTTGGTTCACTTGATCCTCTTCGTTGATGGGAAAGACAGGCGGGTGTCCAAACTGTTGGATCTCTTGTGCAATTTTATCAGCAGAGGCTTTGATGGGCATTCCGGTTCCATGGAAACCAAAAGGGAAGAGCACATTTGCACCTCTTAGTTTATGATAACGTGCAGAAAACTCTAGCTTTGAGAGTGAGAAAGCATGTCCAAGATGCAAAAAGCCATTCATGTAAGGAAACGGGAAGTTTCCAAAGAACTTCTCCCCTGGCTTAGGAGGCTTTTCGCGAGATTCAGCCCTGTAAACGTCATGTTCTTTCCACAAAGTTTGAATCTTTGCTTCTATTTTTTTGAGAGTGTCTCTCTTTACAAAGCTCTTCCCATCTTCAGCGGCCATTTCAATAGTTTTACAGAAACTGCAAACAGCAAAGATTTCCATTAGCAATGTATATTTGTGTGTGTGTGTGTGTGTGTATATTTTCTGTACAGTGTGAAATTGAAACATAAATATTCAAAAGAAAACTCAACACAGAACAATGTCCAATGTCAACAACAAAACTAAAACAAAAAGCAGAGGCCAGAGGAGAGATCATATTCAGAAGAATTAGAAAATAAAAATATATATTGAAGAAGATAAAAGGCAAGAAGGAGGGTACTACCGTACCAGTACCAGAGGAGCTGTTGATGGAGTCTTGACTGCTGCACTCTCCACGTTGTTGCTCCAGCAGAAGAAACAAATTGACAAGCAGGAAGCTCAAGTCCCTTTTGCACGAAAACTGGTTTATGGTTGAACCAAAGACGACAAGGACCAAAATTTATAAGGAAAATTGGCACAAATCCTATTCGAATTAGGCGACACTAATTCAGGAAAATTGGGACAAAGGTTTTCACTGGCTGGCGGCAAAGATGCACTTTTTTCCGTTTTGGTTGGTATCCTTGAGAAGCCTTGGGTGCGTGAGAGTGAGAGACACGCTATACGACGGCTCCCTCCTTCTGTCGTCTAATTTTCTTATGCAAGCGAAACCAAACGACGCCGTATCCATCCAGTTTTCAATTTTTTACCTTAGTTTACCCTAAACCTAGTTCCATAAATAAAAATAAAAATAAAAAATAAAAAAGACAACTAAATCACGTAAATACCTTCTTCTTTTTTTTCTTTTTTTTTTTTTTTTTTTTTTTTTTTTTTTTTCCGAATATGCCTATTCCGTGTACACAACTTGGGTGTCTACTTTTCACTTCTGTAGCCGCTTCTTTTTTTTCTTGTAGTACAAGCAACTCCCTACTAATTGTTACATTAATCTTCCTTTGCTGCTATTGAATCAAATTCAGAAAATTAAAGCCTGCCTGCTGCTAGTTTGTTACATGAATATAAGAAAGTATCAGCATATTCAAATAAACATAGTTAAAAATTCCCAAATGATTCAAAATTCTAAACTAAGAAACAGTAGGTGACTACCAAGATTCTCAAACGGAAAATATTTACATGACAAAATGAAGAATAAGAATCACACAGACAAAGAAGTGGCCAGAAAATGTGATAATTCAAAGTAACCACAAAGTGAATACGGATTTAAGGGTGAATCTCATGCATCTTAAAAAATATTCTAGATTTTGATCTGCGGCATTATGTTTTTTACACAAGTTTTACATCCTTGGATTAGCCCACTATGAATGAATGAGCTTAAACTTGACATGATAAGCTTAGCATTTATTACTAAACACTCTACAATTTTGTATCTCTTATAAATAAAATAGGCTTATTAGTTATAATGCCCCTTGAAATTTTGGTCAAATCTCACTTTGTGACCTGAAACTGAAAGTCATCCATATACCCCCTTTAACTGTGATTTCATGTTTCACTTTACCCCCGCCATAAACTCCATTAAAACTATTGACGTGGCAGGAGTACCCGACATTTCAAAGCACTACCAATTTACACCCGCCGTTACATTGATCGTCAAAGTCAGACGTTAAATGCTGACGTGGCAATCGTGGGACCCACCTCATAACCAAACAGCAGTTAGAAAGAGACCAATATAGGACAAATAATATTAAAAAATTCTTTATTTTTAAAGTTAATTAAAATCAATTATTTAAAACCAAAATAAAAAAAACATAATTAAAAACCGGCAACAAAACCAGCTAATTATCTAAGCAGCTAATTAAACAAAACTGAAGAAAATTCCACGAAGGTTCAGTTTTGCTTGTTCATGATCATAATATTAATCAGATCTCCGAGGAATATTAGACTTTTAATCATAAGACTGGATAATGAGTGTATGGGGCTTGCACTTGCAGATCAGAAAGGCACCATCTTTTTGAATCTCGAGCTTCGGAGAGATAACAGGGGAGGCTGTTCTGAAACCAACAGCTGCGTTGGGATGCAATTGATTGATTTGGGCACCTTTATATTGGAAAAAAAAAAAATGTGTTTTTTTCTTAGTTTCCTTTTCTGGGTTTAAGAGAGAGAGAGAGAGAGAGAGAGAGAAAGAGAGAGAGGTTTTGATAACAATGGATTACACACGGTTTCTTTAATTATGTTCTTGACCAGAAAAAACCCATTTCCCAAATTTAATTCCTTTATAAAAAAAATTTATTTCCAAATGTTAAAGCAGCAGTTTTGATTTGGTGAAGGCTGAAAGCAATAATATGAATCAATGGCTTTTGTCTTTTATAACGGCTAAACAAAAACATATGCAAATAAATAAATAAAGGTGGGGATGTTGGAAGAGAAGGAGGAGGAAGAAGAAGGATGGGTGGTGGAGATGCTGGGTTTGGATTTAGGGTTTGATGGGTGGAGAGAAGAAGGAAGAGGAAGAAGGATGGGTGGTGAAGATCTGGGTTTGGATTTAGGTTTGAGGGGTGGGGAGTTTGAAGGGTTTTTTAATTATGTTTTTTTTTTGGTTTTAAATAATTGATTTTAATTAACTTTAAAAATAAAGAATTTTTTAATATTATTTGTCCTATATTGGTCTCTGTCTAACTGCTGTTTGGTTATAAGGTGGGTCCCACGACTGCCACGTCAGCATTTAACGTCTGACTTTAACGGTCAATGTAACGGCGGGTGTAAATTGGTAATACTTTGAAATGTCGGGTATGAAATTGATTGAATTGAATCCTTGGGGCCCATTTCGATACTGACACTAAACCTACAGGGACTAAAGTGTAGTTAATCCTAAAATAAAATAATTGTTCACTACTGTTTGCATGTGGGTGCCAACACTTTTTTCTCCTTTTCTTCTTCTTCTTGTGGTTCTCTTCTCGTGCGCTTCCTTCGTCAATTCTAATTTTCCTATTACCAAATCCCCGATGCCCCCTTGTTTCCTCCTTAGTTTTGTGACATGTGGCACTATGTTAACTCTCTTCATCCCTTTATTTAGAAAAATAATTAAAATATATTAAAATACATGTTTGACAAAGGAAACTGAAGTAAAAAAAAAAAAGTTCCCAGCACACGATGACCATCCAACCCCAACGACGAAGCGTCCCTTTCCCCTCTTTCTCACCAAATTTCTGGCCTAACAGAACATATTTATGTCGTTTGACTCAGATATTGTTCTTCCTTGGAGGAAGCAATCATGGGAAAAGTCAAGGTCGCGATGCAGCAGCCGTGGGAATGTCTAGCTCGCGATGAAGCTTGATGGCGTCTTCGAGGCAAAGGACTTGTGGATTCTAGATCTGGTGCGGCAGTGTGAAGGGAGAGATAGGAGAAAAGGAAGGTGTACTTGTTGAAATAAAGTGACCACGATAATTGAAGGCAAATCTGGATCTATATCTGTTGGCACCGCATGGTGGGTGGCGGAGAAGATGAATGGACTATGCTTGTGAATAAAATTATTTTAATATTCTAATATTCTTTAATACAAATAACAATTAACATAGTTGCCGCCGCTAGGGTTGGGTTGTGGAGGATAGGGGTTGCCACCACTAGGGTTGGGTGGTGGTCGTGTGCTGGGTGGCTGTTGAAGTTCGATGGGTGGGTGCTGGGAATTTTTTTAACTTCAATTTCTTTTGTCAAACATTTTTATTTTTAAATAAAGGGATGAAGAGAGTTAACAAAGTTAAATTAGTGTTAAGTTGTGTGCCACATGTCACAAAACTAAGGAGAAAACAGGGGGGGCACAGGGAATTTGGTGACAGGAAAATTGGACTCCTCCTTGGTCTGGTTTGAGAGAAAGAAAAATAGATTTTCTCATAAAATCTTTGGAAATTCATATCTTTAGTTCTAGAGCTCGAATTGTGGAACCGTTTTCACCTACGTGATCTTGAGAACGAACCCTACAATCTAAGGTAAATTTTGAAGGCTTTCATACAAATTTCGAAATTGCTACAATAGTGGACTTTTTATGATTTCAGTTCTAAGTTCATATTTTGAGGTTAGGTTGTAGTCCTCATTATAATGAGCACGATGGTCTACTCGAAAGTGCGAGATCTGTAGTTTGACCGACGATTTTTGCATTGCAAATTCTTGCTATTAGATCGGACTGCTAGATCATGTCCAATTTTCTGTATCTAGTAGTTTGTATTGTTGTGAGTCTGTAGGTTCACTTAGACCCTAAGTTATCGTGCCTAATCATGCGATCTAGAATGATCTGACCGTTGGACCGGACCCAAATTGATGCCAGTAGATGTCGGGGCTATTTAGAGTCCATTGGTGCAATCGTATGCGAAATCTGAGGTTGTGGGCCTAAGGCAGATTTTTGGAGCGTCATGTTGCCGTGTGGGACCTATGGGACGCAAATAGGGACTTTTTGGACAATTGGAGATTTTTGTCTTGTTTTGATGCTAACAGTGCGTATGTCATAGTTTTGGAGTTGTTTGGATGAGATTTGATCGCTTTGGACCCTGGGTTGGTTTGAAGGGCATTTTCATCATTTGAACGCGAAATCTTGGATTTGCGCGAGGTTGAGGATAAGGTTGAAGACGTGGTTGGTCATGAATTTTTTGGAATTGTCAGTGACTTTCGGGAGTCACATGTGTGGTGCGTCTCGAGTGATGTGTGCCTCGATTTGCATGCCAATGCACGATGAGATGAGTTGGGAGCTCTTTTTTTTTGGAGTTTTGTTCTAAGTTGAAATATGTACTTTGAGTCTGTATTGACATTGTAGTTCGGAATAGGTTGTATTGTATTATGGAAAGAAAAAAAATTCATGGTACATTTGTTGAAGATTCCAAGCTTCGCATCCCGTATCGGTTTGTTTGTAATAACTCGAGGGTTATTTTTTATTGAAAATTCGAGGGCTATTAGAATTTTATATTTTTACTTTTGGAACACTCACAACACACACATTCTCAAAGCCTATTCTAGGGCTTTGACAATTTCAATTAAACAACCCAACTACCATCTTAGCTGATAATTTTAATATTTTGGCACATATCTAAAGTTTTGTATCAGATTATTTTCCTCATTTAACATGTATGAGTTAAAGCATCAGACTTAATGGTCGACTTACAATTTTTTCTGCTTTTTTAGTTTGCAATTGTATTTTTGTAGATGGGCATTTTATCACCCGTATTTTTCTAGACGTGCGTCCAAATAGTTTATGCGCGATAAAAGAAAAAAATAAACTATTGAGACGCATATCTAGAAAAAGAAACTGTTGAGACGCACGTCTAGAAAAATATGGGTGATAAAATACCCATCTACAAAAATACAATTGCAAACTTAAAAAAGAGAAAAATTGTAAGTTGAGCGTAGCGTGCGTGAAGGAAAAAAGCCTCTAGCACGCTCGGGATCGCGTGCAAGGCGGCTAGTGAACGATTAAGTTCGCCCAATAAATGATGGTTACGTATTGCCACATCAAATTTTATATATTAAATTGATAAAATTTATGATCAAAACTTGTTTGTGAACCAAACAAAACTACATGACTAAATATGCCAAAGTTCTCTATAAAACAAAATATGCCAAATTCTATGAAAAAAAATATCCCGAATTTGAAATGACATGGAAAATAAATCAAACTACGAAAACCAAAAATATTCAAGTAAATATAAATCATTTTGCTCATTATATAAATCATATTAACTAATTCTTAGTCTAGTGGTATTTCTCTTTTGACAACGTAATCGTATTTCTCTTTTTCTCTAAATGATTGTCTTAAAAATTTTCTTTTATCATCTGTATTTTTCTAGACATGCGTCTCAACAGTTTCTTATTTCAATATCTCGTGTGTGATTATTGGCGCATATTTTTTATAGACATGCGTTGTAACTTTATTTTATTTTTCTCTAACTTTTAAAATGGATGTCTATAAAAATTACACGTCATTACTCACATGCGGGAGGCCTTTTTTCAATCTCTCGGGCTACCCACAACTTACAATTTAAAAAAAAAAACAATTGTACTTTTCTAGACAGGCATTTTAATTCAGGCAAGCAAAAAAAATCATCTACAATGCCTGTCTAGAAAAATATAATTTCTTAATAGAAAAAATTGTAAGTAGCACATAGTTCGAGAGATAAAAAAAAAAGTCACCTGCATGCACGGGAGAGCTTGCAGACAAGCTAGTTGTTGAAAGGTATAACCAAAACAGAATTTAAAAGTATAAATTAAAATTGGAAGATATAGAAACATAATAGATTCAAACATACCTTCAAATATCTTGTTCTGATCTCTGAGAGTGAATCTTCATAAGAAAAAAAAGAAGAAGAAAAGAATGAGGAAATAGTAACAGAGAAACAGAAAATAATTAACACCATTACAAATAGATCAAAATGAAACATAATAATAGAAAATTAATCCTTCAAATCTCTTATTTTGATCTCCGAGAGTAAATTTTCATGCGAAAAAAATAAGGCATATTAAATCAAATGACCGAGTAATAGAGAAACAGAAAATAATTAACACCATCACAAATAGAACACAAAGAAAAATATGATATATTCATATTTAGATCGGTACACTAAATACGAAGTTATATCAGGTTTGATAAGAGGTTATTTCCTTTTGCGCGAACCATTGCTTGATGGGCTTAGAGAGTTAGTCAAGTCGGCCCTTGGTGATGAGTAGAGACGACTTGACCTAGCCCTATATAAGCTTAAGACTCTGCTCTCATCACATACATTCTCTAACCCTAATCTCATCATAAAGAGAGAGTTGAAACAGTTTTTGAGAAAAAGCAGAAGTCTTGAGCGGTTTGTGTCTTTTGCTAGAGTTGCTGTTGCTGCGATTGAATGAGTTCGGAGATCGTGTACTCAAGGAAGATGATGCCAGGTATATCTTTTATGCTATGTTGCACCGATACAGATATGGGTACGGCAATACGATACGATACGATACGTTGATACGGCAAATCTCCAAAAAGTAGGATATGGGTACGACACCGATACGACGATTAAAATAATATATATTAAAAAAATATATATAAATTGAAAAATTGAAAATTGATATTTCATCCATAATAAGTTCAAAACACATAACTTCATTCAAATCTCCATAAACAAAGCACAAATTAAACAAAACACACAAAATACAATATCCATAAACAAAGCACAAATTAAAACATTAGAAATCACTTCTCAAAGCTCTAACTTCATTCATCATGGTTGAATATGATGGCTTCTAAGTCCAGTTCATCAAAAGAGAGGTTTGCAATCTCAAGCACTCCGGCATTTTCCAAATCCATGGAATCAAATGCATCTCCTCCAACATCCCACATATGAGTTTCCCCTTCTTTATATTCGGGCCTTTTCCTTGAAAGGAGACGAAGATTGCTATGCACAAATACTAAATCTTTCGCTATTTCCAGTGTTATCTTGTTCCTCTTAATAGAGTGAATGAAGTTGTAAGTGCTCCAATTTCTTTCACAACATGAGGAGGAAGAAGGATGTCCAAGTAGCTTCAATGCTATGGTTTGAAGTTTTGGTGTGGAAGCTCCATAGATAACCCACCATTTTACCGGAGCCATGAAACCTCTATCCTTCATAGAGTCCATACTCGAAAAATCTTCAATACATGCCGAAAAAGAGGCATACTCCTCATTAACCGTTCTTCTCTCCACCTCATTAGGAAAGAATCTCTCAATACATTTCTTCCTCTCCCTTGTAATCTCAATGTCTTTATGTGGAGCACAACGATTAGGAGCCATATCAAGTCATTCCTTGCAATAATACCTAGAAGTACATGATAAGAATTATAAAATTATAATGATAAACACAAGGAGAAATTTACTAAAGTAAAGACTTACTTAGGATTTAGAGAGTGTGCCAAGCAATGGAGTGGTGTGTAACTCTTGGTCCATCGGTCCACCAAAATTTCATGCACCACATTGAAGAACATTGACTCTTGATTGAGTTGCTTGCGCTCCTTTCAATATATAATTGTCTTCACTTTTTCTATCATACTATCCCACCACTCATAAATCAAGTGAAGACAAGGCATATCCGTGTCACTCAACCTAAGCATCTCATATATTGGAGAAGTAAAGTTAAGTATGTAATCAATGTCCTCCCAAAAGCACTCATCCAATATTTTTTCCTTCACCGTCCTTGCTTTTACCACATCATCCTCTTTATAAATGTCTCATTGCTCACTAATAACCATTTGCTCTAAGCCTTGTTTCACTTGCTTAAATCTTTTAAGCATCACAATTGTAGAAGCAAAACGTGTCTCAGCAACGAAGAGCAACTTCAACTTACAATGATCATTATACATTGACAACCTCATATTATGGTTCATAATAAAATTCTTAATAAACCATGCATCACTTGAGATTGTTGAAATCCAACTACATTGCTCATACACTTCCGGATGTCTTAGCACGGGTGAGCATATGTTCTTCAAAGCAAGATTAAGGGTATGAACCACACATGGTGTCCAAAAGATGTGCTTAAACTTTGCCTCAACAATATGTCCGGCCGCCTTACAAAGCGGAGCATTGTCGGTGACCACTTGAACCACATTTTGAGGACCTATTTCCCGAATTGATTCAATAAGTAAGTTCGCCATGAAAAATTTATCCTTACACTCACCTTCACAATTTATTGCCTTCAAGAACATAGGCCCACTTTCACAAACGGCCATGATATTAATGAGAGGTCTTCTTTGTGCATCCGACCACCCATCACTACAAACACTTACCCCTTTATTTTGCCATGCCCTTTTCATTGGTTGCAAACACTCCTTAATGTTATTCTTCTCTTTTTGGAGAAGTGTAGTTCTCAACATATTGTAACCGGGAGGGTGGTAACCCGAAAGTGTTTTACTACAAGCGATTCTAAAGGCATTCACATAATGGGGATTCCTTGCAAATTGAAATGACAAGCCGCTCGTGTAAAACATTCTTGCAATCTCACCATCTAATTGTTCTCTAAGATTATTGTTAAATGCTTTCTCAATAGGATTAGCCTTCCTCTTCTTTGGGTCACTACTTGTGGTGCCACACCAATTTGAACCTACACCCAAACCACTACTTGAACCTCCTTGACTTGAAGTGTTGGAGGTGGGTAAGGGTACATCTCTAAGTTGTGCCATTTTAACCCTCAATTCCGCTTCTTCCACTACTTTCTCCATCTCCATCAAATGAGAATTTGTAACTTTAGTGCAACAAGCAACTCCATTGCCTTTGAGTTTTAACAAGTGGCTCTTCACTCTAAAGTATGATCCTTTGAAAGTTTTTTGGCAATAGTTGCATTGGAAAGAAGTATTGCCACCGGCTTTACCGTCTTTGTCAAGCTTCTTGACATATTTTCATAAAGGAGTATTATCATTCTCCTCATGCTCCCCATTATTATTACTAGCATTCCCATCACAAGAACTATTACCCACACTACTCATTTCCTGTAAATCAAATTATATACCCAAATCACTTCATAAACTAATTAAATTATATACCCAAATCAACAACAATTCCAACCACACAAAACTTATTAAATAATATAGTAAACAACCCATATAACAACAACTGGCCGCAGCTTATTAAAAAGAAAGGAGAACCCAAATCAAATCAACAACAATTCCAACCACACAACTTATTAAATTATATACCCAAGTTCCAAACCCATATAAGAACAGCAGATTATTCAAAGAAAGAAGAAGAAACCTTGAGCTGCGTATGAATCTGAGTAGCGATAAAGCTGCTGCAACGGCGCTGGTTGAGAAAGCTGGGTGCGACTGGGTGAGTTATTCCCTTCCTTCTTCCTTCTTCCTCCTTCCTTCTTCTTCTTCTTCTATTTGGTTGGTGTTTGTCTGAATGAAACCCAAGACCTAGCCTCTCTCTCGACTTAAGCAGTCTGAAATTCTATGTTTTATTTTTACATTTTAACCCCAAATACTAAATAACTTTCAAAATTACCCCCAAAGTTTCCAAATATTTTCATTTTTACCCCCAGACGTATCGGTGCTGTATCTAGATCGTATCATGACCATATCAAGGACGTATCGAGGACGTATCGGAAAGTCAACATATCATAAAAGTCTACGATACGCCACGTGACGTATCGGAAAGTCAACATATCATAAAAGTCTACGATACGCCACGTGGCATATCAGATACGCATCGGTGCCGTATCGGATACGCGCATACCCCCAAAAAGTGGCGTATCGGTGCAACATAGCTTTTATGTATTTCAGGTTGTGTGAAAGATCATGAATACTTATATAGAAATTCTAACAGTTGGTATCAAAGCACATGGTTACTCACACACATTGAAATTGTTTTCAAGCATGCCTATTGTAATTTTCTTTTCATTGATGCCATGACTATTTTGGTTGTATTTTAAAAAAATTATGATAGATTAAACATGTTTTCTAAATACTATGAATATTAAAGAATCTGGAAAAAATCATGTTTCAATTGATTTTTCATATCTTCAAAACTTTAAACTCGGCCTTACGCCACTGTAAAGCAATGGGTTCTGTTAATTACGCCATTCCCTATTCGGAAAGGAATTTTGGGTCAAAAAGGGACATCGAAAACCCCTAACACACTTTTCAAAGCAGAAACATTGTTCACGTCAAAAACATTGTTCACAACAATTTTAGGGTTTTCTGTTTGATTGCGTTTTGTTTGGTTATACTATGTGCTAGATAGGAACTTGTTTTTGTTCTGAGAATCAACAAATTTTTCATAACAAAACCAAACCTAAATACTCAAACCCTAACGAAATAACCAAAATTGCATCATACCTAAATTACTTGATAAGTTTCTTCAACAAATAGAATTTGTCTTGTAATCTATTTATGATGGCACAAAATAACACGTAATCTATTTGTAAGTTATAAGTAATCTCTTGCCACAAAGGTGTGATACTTAATTAAGAAAACTTGTATCTATTACTTGTTAGTTTTGTGGATTAAAGTTAAACTGGAAAACTGTTTTCTCTAAACAAATTGTGAATCGGTTTTTGGGGAAGTACTTATACTTTCTTTTGCAAATCCTTACAGCATCGAATCCTTCCTCAATCAATTTCTCACAACTTTAAACACTCACTAGATCAAACTTCAAAAGATGGAAGTTTGATTTTAAAGATATTCTCGGAATGAATGAGATCGTTTATGATCTCACTCATGATTGTATTTAATTTAAGCTAGTCGTTTCGTTTATGTATCTTATAGCACGGCTCCAAAAGCTTAGGAAAAAGGAGAAGCATCTAGAGTTTAATATGAGCTACTCGTGTCAACTTGTCATGAATGAGGTTTTAGTAAAGAATATAAGGGAGCTAATTAAGAAGCGGAACGAAGATGAATTGCAACGAAAAAGGGTTGAGGCGTAGCGACGCCATCAACTTTATGGAGGACTCATAAAGAGGTACACAGCTACAATAAACATTCTTAGGATAATAGTAAAGTTTTGGATGTTTGTGGGGAATGGAGAGCAAAGTAGATGTGGAAGCCATTGGAGTTGTTAACATCAAGTTGGATTCATGATTTATTTTAGAGTTAGATGATGTAGTTTTAGTACCTCAATGAAGAGGAATTTAATTTATGTTCCAAGATTATCAAGACTTGGTTTTGTTTTGAATTCAATAAAAGATGGCTTCACATTATCTCAAAAATCCAATGTTCTTGCTACTGGTTTTCTCTCAAATGGATTATATTGTCTCAATTACAATAAAGATGGTGAAGTTTTAATGGCTGAATCGAGTGAGAAAATGATTAGAAGTGAAGGAACATCCACTAGGTTATGGCATATATGTTTAGGGCACATTTCAAAAGAAAGAATAAAAATTATTGTAAAAAAGAAGTCTTTCCACCATTGACTTTCAATGATAATGAGATTTGTATTGAATGTGTTAAAGGAAAACTCACTAAAACTAAAAAGAAAGGTGCAGCTCGCAGTAGTGATCTTTTAGAGATCATCCACACAAATATTTGTGGACCATTCCCTCATTAAACAATTTATGGAAATCGATTTTTCATCACTTTTATAGATGACCATTCTCGTTTTAGTTATCCATACCTCATAGCAGAAAAATCTCAAGCTTTTGAGATGCTCAAAATTTTTCAAACTTAAGTTGAAAGGCAACTTGACAAAAAGATCAAAATTGCGAGGTCAGACAGAGGGGGTGAATATTATGGACGTTTTGATGAAGGAGGACGATGTGCTAGATCTTTTGCTAGGTATCTACAAGATAATGGAATAAATGCTCAATACACAACGCCAGGAACTCCGCAATAGACTGGTCTGGCTGAGAGAAGAAATCGAACTTTGAAGGATATGGTTCGTCGCATGATTTCCAAAATTGATTTACCCGTGCATCTTTGGGGAGAGGCGATCAAAACAACAAACTACATACTTAATGGAGTGACCAGTAAGTTCGTGGCTAAAACACCTTTCAAAATTTGGATCACCACAAAGCCTAGCTTGCGACATCTTCATGTATGGGGTTGTTGGGTTGAAGTTAGAATCTATAACCCTCAAAAGAAGAAGTTTGATCCTAAAACGATTAGTTGCTATTTTATTGGTTATTACAAGGTCAAAGAGTTTTAGATTTTATTGTCCAAATTATGGTACCCGAATTGTTGAGACTGGTTGTGCAAAGTTTATAGAACATGAGGAGAATGCTACTGGGAATGAAGATTTTATTTTTGAAGAATAAGGGGATGTAGCTGTGATTGAGAATGCTGAACCAAATGTTACACTATTGATTCCCTTAAGTGGTATCGCACCAACCCCTCAGAATGATCAATTGGAGCCTCCACAGTTTGAAGAACCAGTTGACCAACAACAAGAACAAGCTACAGAAAATCCTCAAATAGAAAATTTAACAAAACTAATACAATTGAGGAAATCTAATAGACCAAGAAGATCCACATCAAATTCAAATTATGTGTACCTTCAGGAAGCATATTTTGACATTAAAGATGAGGCTGATCCAATAAGTTTAAAGAAGCGATGGAGAGTCAAAATGCAGAAAAATGAAAGGAATCAATGTTAAATGAACTCGAAAGCATGAAGAATAATCAAGTATGGGAATCAGTTGAACCTCACAAGAGCTAGAAATTGGTAGGCTCGAAATGGGTATTTAAAACACAGAAGGATAATGATGGAAAAATCGAAAGATTTAAGGCTAGATTGGTAGCAAAATGATTCACCCAAAGGGAGGGAATTGACTACACTGAGACGTTTTCCCCAATTTCCACTAAAGATTATTTCCGCACAATTATGGCATTGGTGGCGCATTATGACTTGTTTTTACATCAAATGGATGTAAAAAAACTGCCTTCCTGAATGGTTTACTTGAAGAACCAAATTTTATGAGGCAACTTGAAGGGTTTGCGAAGAAGGAAAAAGAGCATATGGTTTGCAAACTTGACAAGGCGATTAATGGACTAAAGCAAGCAAGCAGAATGTGGTATTTAAAATTCCATCAAACTGTCTCATCCTATGGTTTTGAAGAGAATATAACCGATCAATGCATTTATTTGAAGAAGTGTGGGAGCCGATTTATTTTTCTAGTGTTGTATGTCGATGATATACTTTTGGCTAAAATGATCACAATTTATTGAAGCATACTAAGGAGATACTTTCAAACAATTTTGAGACGAAGGATTTGGGAGAAGCTGCTTTTGTGTTAGGCATTGAAATTCAAAGAGACCGAGCTCGAGGTCTGCTAGGCTTGTCGCAGAAAATATACATTGAAAGGGTACTCAAATGTTTTGACATGAATATGTATTATGGATAGAAAGTTCCATTGGCTAAGGGAGATTTGAAGAAGGAGCATTGCCCCAAAAATAAAGAACAAGAAGCTGAGATGAGGAACAAGCCATATGCTTCTCTAGTTGAAAGCATTATGTACGCACAAGTATGTACAAGGCCAGACCTAGCCTTGTGCATTAGCCAGACAGAGAGATTTCAGTCAAATCTGGGAATGCAACATTGGATAGCTGGAAAGAAGATTCTAAGGTACCTATAGAGAACAAAGGCTTATATGTTGATTTACAGACGCTCAGAGAATTTGGAGCTTGTTGGCTATGCTGATGCGAATCTTGAAAAAGCGGAGGATGGTTACATCTTTACTTTAGATTTTCTTTTCAAGATGGCAGGAGCAATTGTTGCTTGGAAGAGTGCT